AAGCTATATGATGCAAATCCAGAGATACTTAGATTATTATCAGGCACAAATCTTCATGTCTCAATCATGGTACCAAATGATCAAATCTCAATTGTAGCTGCAAATCAATCAGCTGCAAACCAATGGGTACGCGATAACGTTCTTTCTTACTATCCAAACACTATGATCCGATATATTTTAGTAGGAAATGAAGTTTTAAGTAACAAGGATGATCAAAGTTTATGGTATGATCTTGTTCCAGCAATGAGAAATATCAAGAAATCGATCGATGAACATAGAATTCACAACATTAAAATTGGTACACCTTTAGCTATGGACATGTTACAAACCTCATTTCCACCTTCAAGTGGTGAATTTAGGTTAGATATTCCAAGAAACTCACTATTGATACCATTGTTGAGATTCTTGAATTGGACAAAATCTTACTTCTTTATTGATGTTTACCCTTATTTCTCATGGTCCCAAAATCCATCTTCAATTAGTCTTGATTTTGCACTATTTAAAGGTACTCAAATCTATAAGGATCCACTTAGTGGCTATGTTTACACAAACCTCTTGGATCAAATGCTTGATTCAGTGATATTTGCAATGGAAAAATTAGGGTTTTACAATATTAGATTGGCAATAGCAGAAACTGGATGGCCTAATGGAGGTGACTATGATCAAATTGGTGCTAATATCTACAATGCAGCTACATATAACCGAAATCTTGTACGTAGATTGACATCACAACCACCCATTGGTACACCAGCTCGTCCAGGGTCAACGATACCTACGTTTATTTTTTCACTCTACGATGAAAATCAAAAGGAAGGTCCAGGGACTGAGAGGCATTGGGGTTTGTTACAACCAAATGGTAAGGCAATTTACGATATCGACTTGACAGGAGAGATATCAGAGTCTGAATTATCTAAGTTACCAGTGCCAAAAAATAATGGACCATTTCATGGGAAGTTATGGTGTGTTTTGGCAAAGGATATTGTGAATGAAAAGGATTTAGGACAAGCTTTGGAATTTGCATGTAAGAGAGATGGGATATGTGATGAACTTTCTCCTGAAAAATCATGTTATCAACCTGTTTCAATTGTTGCTCATGCAAATTATGCATTTAGTTCATATTGGGCTAAGTTTAGAAAGGATGGTGAAATTTGTCATTTCAATGGGCTTGCTGTTCAAACCACTCTTGACCCAAGTAAGTACCCAAAACTGTTCCCTCATAAGGATTCTTTAAAATATTGAATGGAATTAAAATCAAGAAGAAAGGATTTTTAAAGAATGATTTAACTTATATACATCCACGACATAAAGAATTTTTATATTTTAGTGTATTTTAACTTGCTTTATCAGATATTATGTCTTATTTTCTAGGTTAATAATACCACTTATTACGTTAGATTAGATGTAATTATATTTTTGGAGACCATAGTATTAAAAAAAAGAACGAGAGTCTTGGCGTAACTGATAAAGTTGTTGTCATGTGACCAAGAGGTCACGAGTTTGAGCCATGAAAACAGCTTCTTGTAAAAATGCAAGATAATTAAAGTTGCGGCCCTTCCCCGGACCCCGCATAACGGGAGCTTAGTGGACCGGACTACTCTTTTGTAATTTTAGAAAAATTTATGCTCTTTTAATATACTTTAGTTGATTTTTTCTTTCTATTATGTTCATGATATTACATACTAATAAACTTTTTTGTTGATTTGGCAATTTTGGGCAGGTCATGGATCATGCAAATTCCCTTATGTTTCTCTCTGAAAACAGTTTTTGGGAGATGCATTTGGAGCTAATTATATTTGCTCTCATCTTGAGAAGTGGAATATTCTTTATTAGGAGTATTTAAGAAATTGTAATAAACTTTATTTATTTTCTGAAGTAAATTTAATTCAATGATGGGAATTGATTGCAGTTGTCAATAGAAATTTGTTTCTTTTTGCACCAATATGCAGTGAATTCTCTAATAAAATTTGTCAAGTTAAGTGCCTCCCAGAATTATCTAAGACATTGATGGGACTGCTCCTCCCTTAACCAGAGGTCTCGAGTTCGAGCTCTGGGTATGGAAAAATCCTTGGTAGGGAGCGCCTTCCCCCTAATGGGGCTCTACGCTGTGCGAATCCGAATATAGTCCGGGCTCCAATACGGGTACCGGACACCGGGTGGGAAATAAAAAAAAGTTTCGTACGCGTGGGTAAGTAAAATACAGAAAACTAAAGAACACACAATTTAATGTGGAAAATCACATGGCTCAAAAGGTACAAAAACTACAACCTACCACGAAGGATTTAACTCCAACTTTCTAAAAATACATCCTCCTTATTCAATCTTAGATTTTTTATCATTTCCTCGACCTCCTTAACTTTCTAAAAAGGAGCACTTAGGGATATAAAAGAGAGAGATTGTCAAATGCAATGTATGTGATTAATTGGGTAATATTTAGTAATAGCACTATAATATTATCTTCTGCAACACCCCAGCCCATTAGTGATATTGTCTGTTTTGGGTCTAGGCTCACACGCCTTTAAAATGTGTCACTAGAGTCTAAGGCCTATCTATTTGTATATCTAATATTTTTTCCGTATTTTGTCGATGTGAGATTCGCATAGGGTATCACATCTTTCTCTCTACCCGACTTCTTCAAATAGCATATGATGAGAGAGAAAAAATGCTATAGAATCTCACAGCTAAGGATAAAGAATATCAAAAG